CCCTTAACTATCACTGTTTTAGAATATTTATAGAAAAATCATCGTAAGTCAAAAACTGAATCCGTAAACTCGGAGAGTTAAGAAAAAGAGTCTACTGTATTAATAAATTTTCCTATAATTTTTGGTGGCCTCAAACCAGTGTGAAAATGTTCATCTTCACAACCTGGTCCGACTTTGTTGCTGCAGTGATAGGCAGTTTTGTAAAACTCACCATAAATTGTAGAAAAATTGTATGGAGATGTGCAAGTAGTCATTTTAAAGGTATAAAACTGAACTCTTTGCATATTAAACAGTTTTGAAAAATATTAAGTTTAAGTTGGGTAAAACAGTTCGTAAACAGATCACAACTTTTCTATCGTAAGCTGTCAAGTTAAGTTTTAAATATGTTTTGGTGTTATAACTTGTATTCCCCCCATGAAAACTAAAGAAAACTGGAAAATGTAGGGGTATGAACTCACCTTGAGTGATTTCTCGAAGAGTGGAAGGTCGAATACGAGGAGTATTAAGTCAAGAACACTTGATGAACACGTGAAGTGTTGGATGATCCTAAGAACGATTATTGGTGTTAAAATGTGGGTAGATGATTCAAGGATGTTATGAAAGCATGGAATAACACTTGAGTTTAGATGAAATAATTACCAAAAATTGAAGTAATAGCTCAAGAACACTTCCAAAAAGTGGCTGGAAGTAGAGAGAAAAAGAGGCACTCTTGATGGTTTGAGAAGTGTATAAGTGTTTGAAAGTGATCAAAGTAAGCCAAGAAATCCTCCATGGATTTCTTTATATAGATGTTGCTGGAGCAATTTGCAATGTTGAAAGGATGTTTACCTTGGTTTGTGTGATGTGGATAGGGTTGGACAAATGAGAAGATGACACATGGAGGCAAGTGGGCACACTTGACCCACTTGTGGTGTAAACATCCTTAGATATTTCTCTTAATGTAAAATAATGATTTATAATTAATAAATCCTTGAGAAATGAATAAAATATGAGTTTAGGGAGTTTAAAATGATAAAAATATGAATTTGGTGAAAAACCCCCGTAAAAAATAGGCTTAACAGGCGAATGTTGTCGAATACCGGACAATAGGAGCGAACCTGTGAGGGTTCGGTTCCTATTGCTGAGGACCGAGAGAGGCAACAAGGGAACCGAAAGAAGGGGCTCGGGCCCGAAGGGAGGAAGGAAGGCGAGCTCGGGTCCGAAGGCAGGAGGGAAGCGAGGCTCGAATCCGAAAGTGATGGGAAGCGAAATGGACCGAGGGCTCGGTTCATTTCGGTTGCAGAGGTTTCGGTCCTGACAGCTTCGGTCTTGAAAAGAGGTTCGGTCCTGAGGAGATGAGTTCGGTTCTGAGAAGCTTCGGTCCTCTTAAGGTGTTTCGCTTCCAAGAGGTTCGGTCCTTAAGAAGGGTTTCGGTCCCAAAGGGCTGTTTTTCAAGCAAACTTCCCGTTTTGAGTGATTTTTGGCCAAGTTAAGGGTCGGGATGACCCGGATGACTATGAAAAGTTGAGAGAGATTTTGAGAGAGATTTTGGAGAGATTCATTTTTAGTCAATATTATCGTATTGACTCGCAATGCAAGGTTCGTGAACCCCGTGATGCTTCGTTTGTGATCATTTTAAGTCCCCAAAAGGGTCCACAGTCGTGTTTTGATGCGTTTAACTCCCTTCTTAGGGTTTTACATTGCTAAACACATAAAATATCCAAGACACTTGAATTCTTGACATACAAATGCACATTTTCATACATAGAATAACTTTTAACATAGAATTACTAGATAAGTTCGACCGGTTTGACTTGTTGACTTTGACTTTGACTTTGACTTTGACTTGAATTTGACGGTTGTCACAAACACATAGCTCTGGTAGTAAGATCCTATGAGTGGTATTTGATTGCAAGTTCAACAACATCATTTTCAATTGCCTGTTCATAAAAACTCAAAAATTAACAAATATATGATATGCATAATATGTCAATTGTCATAAGAAAGACAAAAAGAAAACTAACTGCTATAACAATCAAACACATCAACAACATCATTTTCAGTTACTTGTTCATAAAAACTCAAAAATTAACAAATATATCATATACATAATATGTCAATTGTCATAAGAAAGACAAAAAGAAAACTAACAGTTATAACAATCAAACACATCAACAACATCATTTTCAGTTACCTGTTCATAAAAACTCAAAAATTAACAAATATATCATATACAAAATATGTCAATTGTCATAAGAAAGACAAAAAGAAAACTAACAGTTATAACAATCAAACACATCAACAACATCATTTTCAGTTACCTGTTCATAAAAACTCAAAATTAACAAATATATCATATGCATAATATGTCAATTGTCATAAGATGACTTATTTCAATGAAAATTTTAGAAAATTAAATCAAGGCATTGCCGCATTGCTGATGAAATCCATAAAACTAGTGAATTCTAGGAATTAAAAGTTAGACAAATGTCCAGTACTTAGAAATCTAAACATTGAGAAAAATTGTTGGCATTAATTTCTTCAGGCATTAGAAGAAGTAATAAGCCAGCAAAAAAATTCATGGCCTGAATGTGATACAGCAGATTAGCATCATTAAGAAATTTCATTACATTTCACATAATCTATAAGAATATCTAAAAAAATATACAATATTAGTTGTCAAATGAGTTGAATGCTGACCTGGCAGTAACCAACAGACGGGTTATGGCGAGCATATGCTGTGAGTAAATGTCTCAAAGCATTTCTACCACCTTCATCTAAAGCAGGGTGACCTGGAAAAGTCTGAGGCAAATCCTGTAAAAACAAAACAATATATCTGATCTGATTAGGAATTGTACAAAAAAAAACTATGATTAATGTATCAAGACACTAACCCTTTAACATATTTGATGAATATCATGAAGATTTATCCAGTCATACAACACTATAAAAAAAACAATAACTCAAATTTCAGCCACTTTAGGTAGAATGATATACTTAGTACCTGTGTGATGGCTTTATTGGCAACGAGTTCATCGACATTTCCGATGTTGACTTGGACAAAATCCTAAATTGGAATTGGTTCATCATTTATGAAGTCAAAATGAAGTTAACATGTGATATTTCTCATCGAGGCATTTCATCGAACATGTTGAGTGTAAACAAATATCTATATTTTTCAATAACACATGTGTCTATTTTTATACCTACAATCAACACAAGGATTTAACTCTTTTTAAAAACATATTGACTAAACTGGTTCAACTTAACAATTAGGCAAAAACAATTCAAAAGGTCAAATAAAGGTCATGAGTCAACAATAGAAACAGATGATACCTAAATTTTGATCAACAATGGATCATCTTCTTCGTTCAGGTCTTCAATCCATAGTGGAGGCCGAGATGAAGTCGGCGATTATAGTGTACTCTGGGGAACGAATTGATAGAGGATAAGACGATTCAAAATCAAAGCATCTTCACTGGAGTTTTTCTATGAAGAACGTGAGATCAAGGAGTTCAGCAACAATGAAACTTCGATCGTTGGGGGATTTCATATTTCATATAGATTGATGATCGATGATGATAGTTTGATTGATTGGGATCTAGAAATCGATGATAAATAAGGTTCGTCGTTTATCTTCACCGTATTCGTGTGATTAGAAGCAATTTCAGAATCGAAAGCATGGAATTGGATGAAGGATTGGAGGCAATTCGACGTAAGTGAGTCGTTGGAGGATGGATCGTAGGTTTGAGCGAGAGAGGAAAACAGGGAGGAAAGAGAGAGATGACAATTTATTTTATCAGATATTAGATTTAAGAAATCATTTGATTATACTTTTATTCCTATAATACCCCTGACTGAATTAATTAAGATACCCCTCCTTCTTTTTTTGTCCACTTATTTACAAAAACGTCACTTTGCATCTCAACCCTTCCTTTTTTTGATCCAACGTTCCACATTTAGTTCTCGGGAAACTTTGAGTTCTCAAATGATCCTTCCCCTCTCTCTCTCTCTCTATATATATATATATATATATATATATATATATATATATATATATATATATATATATAGGGCTAGGTTATTTTGTTTCTTACATTTATTGTGTGCTATAATGCACCAATAGGAATTTAGTAAATTAAATAATTATTTAATTAAATAAATATAGATATTAAATGATTTCCATAATTATATGTATATTAAATGATATCCATAATTATAATTCTCTTTTTATGGAAACTAATTAAATCTGTCATTAATGTCAGCAATAACATTCTTTCAGAATGAATTCGCATCTAGGTTTTTATATATGAGTTCGTATTTTGTTTCAGAACTCACTCACTTAAAATACAATAAAGTTGCATGAAATATGAAAAACGAGAGTGTATTCTACTAGAATACACTCTCATTCTGCTGGAGTACACTTTCAATCTTCTAGATATGAATTCATTCTAAAAGAATATTATTGTTGATATTAATGACGAATTTAATTAGTTTCCATAAAAATGAGTTATAAGTATGGATAGCCTTTAATATGCATATAATTAATACTAAATTCCTATTGGTGCATTCTAGCACACAATATATGTGAGAAACATTTGAACCTACCTATATATATATATATATATATATATATATATATATATATATATATATACCTTAATAAACATTTAGCCTCAAATGCTAAATTTTAAGAGGTACAACCCATACTGCAATATGTACGATTAGTTTATGCATTGAAAAAAAAAGCTAAATCTTATCCGGTCAAATTTATCTACAAAATGAACCGGTTCAAAGCTATCTGTAGAATTAATCGGTCAAAGCTAAACTGTATTGCTTCATTTTACGTATCAATTGAATTAGTCAATAAAAAATACACTTTATAAGGCTATCTCCTCTCTCAATCTCAGTGCATATCATCAAACCTACACTCAAATCCCTAAATTACCATGAAAACCTATCGATTACACATTTACACCCAATAAACTCCCAAATCGTTTCTCAAAACTATGAAAATCTCAATGCTTCACATCTTCTCTTCTTCTCCGACGCTGCCCTACATATTACACACCACCATCACATTGTTTATAATTTTTATCACACTATATCTTTGTCGTTTCTTGGTGATCTATGGTAAACCAGAAAGGTAGAAAGGTAAAACTGAAATTCTTTCCTCTTTCTCTCCTCTGTCTTTCATTCCATACATTCCAGGTTGAAGTTCTAATTTTGGTTATTTCTTTTAATATTTTTGTGGGTTTTCCTCTTTCTCTCCACTCTTTGCACACACACACACACATTGCCATCACGTTTTGTCGTTCGTATGTCGAAAGAGAAACGAAGCGATGGTTTTATTTTGTAGATTTGAAAAAGCTATGACCAATAGTTTAATTTGGGTATGCTTAATTTTGTTTCTACTCCATTTTGTTTATAATCGGTACTTTTATTCTTGATTTTGTTTACAAAGACTTTTCCCATTTTAGATCTGTTTCTTTCTTATTGATTTGGTTCAGAATAAGTTCTCAATTTTGACAAAATTATGTGATTTTCTGAATGTTTTGCAGCATCTGGGAAATACAGGCTACATTATGTCTCTGTTATTGGTTTTGAGCTAGCCAAGAAATATGGACTCTTCAACACATCAACATGTTCCAGGTATAGTACTTACTTTTTTTTTTATAAAATTTTAGCATCAATCCTTTTACTCGGCTTCTAGATGTTTAGGTGTATAAGTAAGAAATATCAATGTCGTTGTGTGTTCTCCATTTATATTTCCTTCTTGAGTTCATTGTGATCACTTCATGAGCTTTGTTTTTTAGTTTCCGTTTCCTTTTTCATTTAGTTTTACTCCACTATGGCGTAACTTTGAAGAAAATCGATTCATTTTCCTATCGTATTACAGACTAACACCCTCAAATTATATTCTAAATTTATATATAGTTTGATAATTTGTTTTTTTTTTTTTTCGTTTTTCAGATTGTTGGGATGGCTATCGTTAAAAAGACAAGTGGAGATGGGTTACATCAGTACAGTTTTTATCCCTAAGACTGTAATTGTATTCATCATTGGAATATACATTAATGGCGAGGAAGGTGAATATGAAGGTGTTGGAGGAGAATCTCTCATGGGGAAAACAAAGCAATAAACCTTTTACTGTGTTATTTAAGGTTTTTTTGGGTAAATGGTGGAGTAGCTTAAATATTTATCTCGATTCATGTACCTGGACTCCTTATCAGGTATACCCACCACCGATGCAAACATTAAAACATTAAATTATTTGAAATCAAATTTTGTATCTTAGTTCTGTTTCCATTTGCAAATGATAGATTGTGGTATGTGACAAACTTAAATATTGGTAATTGACAGACTTCAATTTTGTTTCCATTTGTAGTTTATAGATTCTCTCCTTTTTTGCATCCACAATTTCATCTTTCAAGTTTAAATCTTTGATTTCTACTTAAAGGTAATGATACATGTTTCAAGTTTTAAGAAATAATTTTGTCTATTAGTATGCCAATTGACCTATTATTTTTTGGATGTAAAACATGGTGATGTTCCTTTTTTTTATTCTTTTTTTTTCTTTGAGACAATATCTAGAATGAATCAAGACACCATAAGTTCTCATATATGTGGCTTTGATATGGTGTAGGTAATGCATATATCTGAATCTGCAAAAGTAATGTAACCTACCCATAAACATGAAGGGAAAATAATGAGGGAAGATTTGCTGCTTTGCTAAAGTGAAGTTCATCATTCAGTAAATATATATAAGCATTACACAACTGTTACGCTTCAAAATACTTTATGCCAAATAACAATTCTTAATAGCATATTTTATATATAGTAATAAACATTTGCCTCAATGATAAAAGAATGGTTAATTTCTAATAGTAATTTAATAAAAAGTTTGGTTCTTTGGTGAAAATTTGTAGGTTAAAAAAGTGAGCCATTTCCAACATGTCTCATGAACCAATGACAAGACTACATCTTCATTCACAAATCGGAATGAAGATCTTTTTTACTACTTTTCTGAAATTGAATCTAAGCTATCTTGAATCTTTTTGTGCTTTAGTTGACAGTGAGGTAATCCTCACTGTGTTTCTTCACTGTAAGCCTATTGACCTTTTAATATAATTTCATTCATTTTGTTCTCAAATTAAAAGTTTTTAGTTTTAATGTGAGATTACTTGTGCTTTGAAGGATTTCAACTGCCTACTCTGGCTTGTGGGGACCGGAAAACTCAAATCCACTGTTTCAGGTTTTGGCTCGGACAAATTTGATGAACCCGACAAGGAGGAAAAGACAAAATCAATTATTTTCTTCAAAAAATAAAGGGACAAGAGGGCCAGATTCATTTTATATGTTGATTTTGTGTTAGTTTAATAGCAAACCGAGAGAATATAAGCAATAAACATGTTGAAGATGACAAGTTGGAAAGAACCAAGCAACATGTTGAAGATTTTGTTGTACGATCTAGAAAGTAGTGGTTGGAATTAGGTATTCCATTGAACCTATTTATTGTAAAATGTATTAAAAAGGTTCAATTGAGCCTAATTATTTCTGTTTATAAATGATGACAAAAAAGGTCCTTAATGTTTGTATTATGTTTACTTTTGTAGTTTGAGAGTTTGGAATATTGTTTGGCAGGTAATTCGTTACTAATAGATAATGATATGGTAATATTTTATATGACCGATAAACATACACATTTATAATTATAATTTTAAACGGCTCATTCAAGTAATGTTTTTATTCCAAATAAATTATTAACTATATTTTTATTAACTTGGTTATCAAATATTAGAATTTTACTTAACAAATGAGTAATGACACAAACAACCAGTCATGTATGTTTAATTAAGTTAACTGACCTAATTAATAAAACAAATATTATTCAAAGTAAAATAATAAGATACTGATTGTTATATTAAAAATCTATAAGGTATAAGTTTGAAGAAATGTGTGCCAAAACGGATAAAATGTGTTCAACTTTATCAATTATACGTTTGAAATGCTATCAATGTTGAAGAAATTGGAACCAAAATGTATCAAATCACTTGATACATTATAAAAATTGTCAATTGTCTTAATTAAAAAAAAAATCCGACAAGCTATTACGGGAAGTCGTTAAACTTTACGGATCAAAACTGGAACCACTAACATCGATTTCGGTTGCAGATTCGATAGTTTTAGAGCGCTTTTGGTTCCAAAGACAAATATCCGGATCGAATGTTCACCCCTAATAGAAACAACGTTGATTTGAAAACGAATATTAGCAAATTAACCACTTGGGTTGTGGTGACTTGGTAAGGCATGTGGAAGATATGGTGGATAACCTATTGACCCATGTTCAAATCCTGGCACCACTCAGCCCTTGTGGCCATGGAGGTTCGTCTGCAGTGACTCCAGGACATGAGACAAAACCTCATGTTTGCAGCGGGGGATTAGTCGGTGCGCGAAAGCTGGCCCGGAAACCCTCGTTAGGGAAGTTCCCTTTCCAAAAAAAATATTAGCAAATTGTTTCCAAAGTTCATGAGCAATTTATATAATAAATGACAATGTATCTTTATTTTTAATTCAAAATAGCAATATACATCTATTTTTAAATTAACACGACGATGTACATTTATTTTTAACCGAAACAACTACATACCAATATTTTAAACCAAATGACATGTATTTTTATTTTTAACCAAAAATAAAACGTTACATATATTTTTAAACTAAAACAACTTACTTTTAACTTTCATTCAGACGACAATGTATTTTATGTTTAAGACAAGAAAAACTTATATAATTGATATATTTCAACAATAAATGATTTTTGTCGATACATTAGTGTTCTTTAAAAATACGATTAATAAAACCCAAAACAACATCATTTTGTTTTAAACTTAAACAAAATACTTTTATTTTTAACTCACAACTTTCTTTATTTCAACTATCATTACAACGCACATTCACTTTTAATCCATTCAGGCAACATACCTAAAATTTAAAACCAAAAACGTAACTTATGTTCCTTGAAAAGTAACTTACCTTCCTTGAAATATAATATATTTTCGAATGGAAATCATTGCCACAAAAAACTATTCGTACCTGTCGCTTAGCACGGGTAAACGGCTAGTATATATATATATATATATATATATATATATATATATATATATATATATATATAGGTTTAGGTTCTATGGAAAACAAAAAACCCTAAAAATCATAAAAATGCATAAAAAAATATTTAGAGATCACAAAACTTTTTTTTGAATTTTTTTTTTATAAAAAATCGCAGCTTTTTATTAAAATTCGCTGATTTTTTTTAATAAAAAAAAAGTTTTTTTTTCAAATTTTTTTTTCAGCGAATTTCTTTAAAAACCTGCGATTTTTTCATAAAAAATCTCAAAAAAAAGTTTTGTGATCTCTAGGTATTTTTTTATACATTTTTATGATTTTTGGGATTTTTTTAGGGTTTTTTTGTTTTCCAAATAACCCTTCCCTTTTTATATATATATATATATATATATATATATATATATATATATATATATATATATATATATGACCAACATAACCCGAAATTTTAATATTGATTTATTGGCAGCGGGTTATTCGGAGGGCCCAGAGCAATTGGGCCGGACGTCAAGATCTCGGTGTATCCGCATTTGTATGGATCGTCGGCCGAAGATTCCATCTACTCGTCATCGGATCTGTCTCTCCACCGCTTTTGGAAACTTTGTGTTGAATCAGACGACTAGCGGCACTCTCGACGAACCAAAACCCTATCCGTCTGCCTGAGTGATGAGCAACGGTGGCGAGTGTAGATACGTGATCGGTCAAAATGCTTACATTAAGCTGGTTCTTCATGCCTTGAAGCACAAAACCTCCGCCGTTAACGGCGTCCTCCTCGGCCGTCTTTCGGGCGATATAGTGGAAATCACCGACTCAGTCCCTCTCTTCCACTCTTCTCAGATCGGGCTTCTGCCTCCCCTAGAGATCGCCTTAATTATGGTTTGCCTCAATTCTCCCCTTTCTGAGATAGCTCTTCCCGATTTTAGGTTTTATGTTCATCTTTTGAATGCTTATATTTGTTTATTGAATTGTGTAACAGATAGAAGAGTATTACAGTTCACAGGGCTGAGTATAGTCGGTTATTTCCACGCCAATGAACGATTCGATGATCTAGAGCTCGGTACCGTTGCTAAGAACATTGCCGATCACGTTCATCGTTATTTCCCCCAAGCCGCGGTTCTTTTGGTTCGTGTTCTTGATCACCAAGTTTGCACTACACAAGTGTAACTGCATCACATTACATTTGAATTGCTTCATCTATTTCTTCCGAACTTAAAACCCGTTATTTCTAAGTTGGAAATTGATTTCGATTTTTTATGTTAGTGAATACTTTTGGTAAGTGTAACAAAATCTTTATGATTTTTGCATTTAAAAGGTACCACTCAAGTTTGGTGTTAAAACTGTATATATGTTGATCTACTTTCATCTGTTAACATTTCTATTTGTAGATTTGTAATGGTTTTGAAAAAATCTGTTTAGCTGAATCAGATGATGTGGAAAGAGTCCCTTGGGTTTAAACTTTTAATTATATGATTTTTTGGGAATAGTTGTAAATTAATCGTTTTCAAATATTGTTTGTTGTTATTGATTGCAGCTAGATAACAAAAAGCTTGGATCTTTGAGAAACAAGAGGGACAAGACTCCTGCAGTGCAGGTATGATAAGCCTGAAACAATATTTCAATTGATGGCCTATTGATAAGAAGAGACTGAAAGATAAATGCAGATTGGACCTACTTTGTCTAGTTAGTAATCTTCTTTCTTGGATTGATGCCCAGTATAATATAGTTTTAATTTGAGTTTGGTTATAGTATATCGTTAAAAGTGGCCTCACTCAGTCAAAACCTTTACCTTTACATAGATAATACTGGTTAAATAATCTGGTTTCTTCAAGTGTTTAAACTACCACAGATACTACCTGCCTATCCTATAGGAACATGCTAATTTATTTAGTTTATGGTATTATCATAATTACTACTTCCAGTTCCACCAAGTATTTTGCTATGAGAAAGGGCAAATTGTAGGAGATTGAAATATGCTAAAATGTTTATAACATGGATTCTTGAATTTCCCCCTGAATGGTGTGGTCTCTGGCTCTGGGTCCATGAGGGTTTGAATGTTGTTTTAGATTTTCATCCTCCATTACATTACATTATAGGCTATTACTATAATAGCACGGAACAAGCTACACCTGTATTCCTTGCATGCAGTTGTGTAGAGCAACTTTAAGATCCAACAAGATTAGATAACAAATCATTGATCGTGTCCAGTCGAGTCGCTAGGTGGTTTCCTTGTCTTTATGTTTATCTGGGTGAGGATTTTTTGGCACATTGAATGTAGCAGCAGGCAGCAGCTATGCGATCATGTATCATGAATGTAAATTATTTATTTTCAAAAACAGCAACACTTAAAGATTCTTCCGTGTTGGTATTGTCTGTTCTGTTGCCTTTCTTGTGAATTGGTCAAGTCAAGTGAGGACTGGAGATGATATTTATGTTTGGTTTGTGGATCCATCCATATTTGCATCAATTTAGTAATGATAAATTGATAATCCCTATTAATAATATCTCTTTGCAGTGTCTTGTTAAAATTAATATTTGCAACACACACACACACACACACACTCTCTCTGTGTGTGTGTGTGTGTGTGTGTGTGTGTGTGTGTGTTTAATATCATGTTTGTCTGTCAGGTTTATGCACGAGATTCCTCCTCCTCTTCCAGGATTTGGAAGCAGGTCGAGTCAGATCACATGACCACCAAGGAGCCATCTGCCAACATCGTCCTTTTGGATTTCATTTCATCCGAGAAATGGAATGATATCGTAGACTTCGATGACCACCTTGATGACATCACCAAGTAAGACTCAATGCCCCATCCATATTCATCTTTCAAACAAAAACTCAATCAATATGTAAAATTAATCTTTGCTTTTTTTTTTTTGGCAGGGATTGGCTCAACTCTCAACTCTTCAAATAGGATTCCAATTCTTTCTTTTTTGCTTTTCCCATCTCACCTGTAACCTTAACATGTGTGTTTATTTTTGGTTTATCGAGTTTGTTTTTGACTTGAATGAGGATTAGCTTTTCTGTAGTTGGAGTTGGTTTGAACAGAATCAGAAACTGCATTACGTCTTTCTTAAACATGAAATATTTAACTTTGAAAAAATCAATCACTTGAATGAGGATTAGCTTTTCTGTAGTTGGAGTTGGTTTGAACAGAATCAGAAACTGCATTACGTCTTTCTTAAACATGAAATATTTAAACGTTTAAATATAGTTAATTACACAATTCGAGTTGTTAAAAATAATTAATGGCATAGTGGTTGTGGATTGGAGGATGACATGATAAACATTCACCCAAACCTTTGCAACACATATCGTCCATCAGCCTCCATACGTGGGTAAAGTTTGCAACACATTTTGTTTGCAAAGTTTGTGGCGGGAGAAAATACTCCTCACATCAGCCATGTCACTATTTTTTCTAGTTTCTATCATAATTAACAGTACCTGATCTTGGAGTCCATTGCTCATGTGATGTGAATTATTTCTTTGAAAACATGTTATGCTCTGTTGGTCTTGGAATGGAATGATAGATGAAGTTAAGTAGTAATGATGCATGCATGGTTCTTTCAATTCTTTGTTTCTGGATACTGTGTCTGTGGCATTCAATGCACGAGGCTAAACTAAATTAAGGGATGTCGTCATGTCAGTGGGTGTTGGGTGGAAGAAAATCAAATCAATGTGCATGGTGGTGTTCGTGTGAGTCCATTGCTTAAGAGAGCAGCCTGGATGGGATGAAAAGGTGGCACTTTGACGTGTGAAAGATGACTTTATCTGTAAGTATTGTATTGTGCATTCTAATTTGATTCTGTTAGCAGTGTGATTCTTCATTTATTTTCTTGTATTTTGTGGTTCGGTTCAGTCACTATAGAATCAACTTGAGCATTTGATTGCCACTGAGGTGCTATTTATTTACTTGGAAGATGATATGTGTGATAAGTGAGATGCCAGTCTAATTTTTGTGTTTCAGAGTTTTACATATACATAATATGTTATTTTCTGAAATGCATGGGTAAAACACATTTTTGCATATTTTATTTATGGAAAAAAAGAAAATGTTGTTGGAAATTTGTGTAGCGATGGCTGTAAATGAAGTATGAAAGAAGAGATTGTGAGTGAAGTGATGATGGGTGAACATGAGTAAAGTAGATGGTCGCCTGGTCCTTTATAACTAGTTTGGTTTGGGCAATTGAATCAAAAAACTTGATTGTCCCCACTTTCATACGACTGATTTTATTTTAATTAATGATAATGATATGCTTTAAAAAGCACGCAGAACTATGAAGGGCAATGCAGTACGTTTAAGATATAATTAAAACTTGTGTTGAGTTGCTGAATTGGGAAGAATAACAATTTCTGTAGTGACCACCGATTTTAGGGACAGTATCATGCATACAACATTGTTGGCTGAGGTGAAGATGAGGGAAATAAATAGACTAATGGAGTTGAATCAAAGAATTCATGCTATGAGGCAATAGAGTTGAAGGAGCAGAGCATTGTATGCATTTCTTATTCAAACAATGATTATAATCCAATTATATATAATGGTTTAATCTACCAACCCATCCAATTCCAAACAAAGCACTAATTAATACTTGTGTTTATTATCATCGATAATACTTACTGAACATATACATAATCGGTCCACAAAGGACAAACAAATAATGGCTGCATGCTTAAAGTCGAAGATTATTAAGATTTATGCTTCATTTTGACACTATTGTTATTATTCATTCATAATGTTTAGATTAATGTGTCCTCTAACTTAACTAAAAATGTTTTCTTTTGAGTTTTTAAGAAAATTTGCTCCCTCCTCCACTCCATTGGAATCACATTTTTATTGGGCAATTGGTTTCCAAATCACCATTCACCAATATGCTTGTGAAAATGCAAGCAAAAAAGTAACAGATCAGAAAGGAATAACAGAGTCAATTAATTGTGTTCACCGTTATCTTTTTGCATTTCGCAAGTACAATTGTTTAAGTGCTAATTTCCCCTTAAGCTTTGTATTACACAGGTAGGTAAAAATAAGGATGTTTTTTTTTTTTTTTTTAATGCTGTGGAAGTGTGAAAACGATTATCAATCTGTTTGGAATCTGTATACATGGGGTACTGTACTGATGGCTTCTTTTATTACTTGAGGATCTCTAACCCTTACATCTGAATATCTGATGAGTGAGAATTGTTGCATAAAGCTCAATAAAAATAAGTGAATTCTTTGCATTTTTCATGCTTGAACCTACCTAGTCTTGTATGATTGAGGTGTATAAACTTGGAAAGGTAAAGTGTAAGATAAGAATGAAATTTTTTTACAAATGTTTCTGGCTATGACAAGATCTAGGAGGTGATCTATTAAGTAATTGCTCTCTCTCTCTCTCTCTCTGTATATATATATATATATATATATATATATATATATATATACAGAGAGAGAGAGAGAGAGAGAGCAATTACTTAATAGATCACCTCCTAGATCTTGTCATAGCCAGAAACATTTGTAAAAAAATTTCATTTTATATATATATATATGTTGTTATTATGTATTATGTCAGCAGCTACTGCTTATTTTTGTTTCTCAGTAGCAGACAGATTACATAACATGCGGTCTCTTCTCTTTCACATATGCCTTTACTTGCATAAATAAGCGGATGGAGTGGACTTTGATCAATTAGTATTAGCTAGCCTAGCTGTCCACTTTTCATTGTTCTCAAAGTTTTCTTATGTCTACTCTACAGTCCTGAGTCCAGCATTGCAATTGAGACCTTACAGGTTCTGTTGGTTGCCAAATATTGATGATTCAATTTTAATAAATTGCGTATTGAGCATACAGCTATGTTACCATGTTCTTGGGTGGGTCCCATACCATACCAGTGTATCTTAGTCAGTATATCATTGTTTTAGTTGATATTTAGCCCTTTCTTGATGTTGAAATTATACAACTTTTTTCACAAATGAAAGCAACCCCAAAACCTAATGGATAATGAGACTCCTGTCATTCCGTTTCTTTATGAGAGTAGATTTCGACTGGAAGTTGTAGGTATGTAGGTTCTTTTAAATATAGTTATATCGTGCTACAAATAGATATGCACCAGCTAGTATACAGATGATGTTATAATCCCCAATATCTTTGTACGTAGCGTAGGTATTATTTGACCAAGTATATTTGTAGTGCAGTTCCAAGGGCCAATAACATGAAAATGAGCAACAAAGTAGGAACAAGACTAATTTCCAGCAGCAGCTCAGAATACCAGGAATTGTAAAGAAATGTCCCTTTGGCTTCTGCAAACCTATGTGTGAAAGGTTTATTATGTTTATGGTGATCATCGTTCTTCTGCCCTTTGCTTAGTAAAATTGAGTCATCTTCCTTCATGCTTTCTTCAATCATGTGGCTTGCTTCCTCCTCCTGCTGCACAGACTCATCTGCCCAAATCCCAACTTCACTCTTGGCTGTAGTAACATAGGGTCGAGCATCTGATTGTATTAACAAGATCTCATCATCCACCTTGTTTGTTCCTGTTTCATCTTCTGTAATCATCAACAGCTCTGCTTCTGCATCTGGCGTTTCTTTGTCTTTATTCATAGACTGGACCTCACATTCCTTGTCTTCATCTTTGCCTTGTTCTTCTTTATTCATCATCATCAATTGGTTTGGTGGCGGGGGGCTCTCTTCTCTTACTGCTGCTCTGTCATCATCATCATCAATGGCAGATCCACTGGAAAATGTCCGACTCTGGTGCATTTCTTGGGTTTGTATTGTAATGGTTTCATCATCATCATCATCATCATCATCATCCTCATCCAGACAAGCTTCTTCGCTCACTACTAGTTTGCATTGCGTTTCTTGGTTTTCTACCCGCACACAAAAAACTGTGTTTATTGCTTCTTCTTCTTCTGTTTCACCGACAATATCATCAGCTGCTTCATCACTAGTACTCAACTCTCCCTCAACATTCGCTACATTAATCATTTCATCTTCACAATCTTTTTCTTTCTCTTCTTTAGCCCCAGCAGCCTCCATTGCTGCTGTTCTTTCTTCATCTGATGCTAGTGCGCCCACCTGCATGCTTTCTCTAACGCCTTCAATTGCTTTATATTCCTCCTCTTCAGTGTCACTCTGTTGGTTACAGTATTTCTTCTGCTCTTCTTCAACCCCGTCAACTATTGGAAACCCCAATTCAGTCTGACATGCCACAAATGCCAGGACAATCTTCTCTTCAGAAACAGAATTCGCATAGTTTTTTTCATCTTCACCAACTATTGAAAACATATTACCATCTCCAGACTCCACAGCCACTTTTTCATCACAGTTTTGCTTTTCCTCCTGAAACTAAACAAATTAAATTCACGTCTCCAACCCAGGCATAAATCATAGCATAAACAATTAAACATACCGGACTCGAATCTGGAATGGTTTTAGTCTGCATGATCTCGTTCATGCTAGTTAACCCATCACTGCTTTAAAATTAAAACTGTTTACATCACTTCAATTAACGTGGTTTCTATTGATGATTCTTCAACTTCCCGAGAAAGACGAATAAATAAATAAAAAGGAGAAATTCCATTCATACAAACCTCTGATTCTGAGAGTCAAGAGGAAGATCTGTATTAGTCTTCACAATGAATTCCAACTGGTCTGGTGCATCGACACTCTGTGCCTCCGGTGATGGCGACCTGCTCTTCTTAGATGATACTCTTATTTTGAAAGCTAAAGCTGCTGATACAATGGTCGCAGTGACCAAAGCTCCACCAAACAACACAATACCACCCATTCCAAGTCTGCCGGCACCGGCACCGCCACCACCACCGATACTTATTGGCAGCGGCATGGCTTTGATATTCTTCTTCTTCTTTTCATGTTTAGGATGATCCTCCATCCAGGATTTATTTCTGGAGCCGAATCTTTATGTGATTCTTTACAGCTGCGTGCTTTTTATTGAGGGTTGTTTGTTGGCCTGTTGGTAGATGTGAGAGAGAGACTATCCCACAAATGAGTACCCAAAAAATGTTAAGAATCGTAACAACTATTTTTTTAAAATGTTTTTATTAAGATCATTTTTGGAGAAATCAAACATTATTATATTAAGAAAAAAATTTCATTCCTTAATTTGCAGTTAATTGCGACTTGTTGTTGGATTACCGGACTGCCACCGAATCTATACCAAATTTAATGGTAATTTTCTGATCATATTCACAACTTAATAAAATAAACATTATAGATTTCATTTCTTTTATAATATTTTTTTAACAAATAACCATTTTTATTTTTGTAGCTAAATATACAAAATTTTAATAAAAAAGAATAGAATTATGCTATAACAAATTCAATTTTCCTTTTTCTAAACTGTAGATTTGTTTAAAAAATATATTGTGTATAAGATATATTCACAATTTAAAATACCATAATCACATTTTAATAAACATATTAATTTAATAATACATAATTTAATGCTTTCATGCATACATTCATTTATATTTTATAACAAAATTTATATAAAATATACAACTTAATACAACCCATTTTTAGTTTAGTACATATAATTCAAAACATAACATAATCCAATCTATTATATACTAATTCACATATTTAAAGAAGTCAAACTCAAACTCTATCACCACTAACTATCACCACCAACCACATGTGTCATCGTCACAATCATCATTCCTTCCAAATAAGATCTGTATATATAAAATCATTAATTGACAACTAAAATATTATATTCACATTTTAATAAACCAATTAGTTCACTTATTTAGAGTTTAATACAAAATAATTATAAAAACTAATTCATTCTTGCATATTTATACAATACAAAAAAACATATTCACAAGAAAATTAATACAAGCATTTATAAATAAATCATTTATACTTTAACACCAAATTCATTAAAAACCTATACCTTATTATAGTCAATTCACAGTTTAAACAGAAAAGTCACAGCTTAATGCAGTCAATTTACAATTGAAAACACAAAAATCACAATTTAATTCACAAAATTCACAACTTAATATAGTCAATTCACAGTTTAAACACAAAATACACAATTTAATGCATGTAATTCATAGTTTAAACACAAAAATCACAGCTTAATACAATAAAATCACAGTTTAATACACAAAAAATATAAATTCACAACAATATTATCAACTTAAAATTTTTAATACAGTCAACTCACAATATAATCACAAAATTCAAAGCTTAACATTTTCAGAGTTTAATATACAAAATTCAGATCTTAATATAGTCAATTTTTAGTTTAAACAGAAAATTCACAGTTTAATACAGTCAGTTTATAGTTTAAAACACAAAAATCACAGCTTAATACATAACATTCAAGACTTAAGACAATAACTGGAACATTAAAACATAAAAATCACAACTTAAAAAACCTAAATTAATTTTTTTTGAGAAAACACTAACATAATAATACACATTCTAAACTCAATTCACAATATAAAAACCATAAAACATAAGCTATGAATACCTATTTTAGAAAAAAATATTATAACAAATAAGAAAACAAACTTTGATTCACAACTTAATAGCAATGGATTCACAACTTAGTATTTTATACAAATAGTATAATAGATAAGAAAACACCTTGTGTGCATAAAAAAAGTCATTCACAATATTTATACAACTAACATTATTTATAAATAAATAAAATTATAAATACAAAAAAAATCACAATAAAATTTATATTATTTGTTAGGGACTATTTATTTGTGTCCACAAATTTGCTCATCATAATGAAAATTAATTATTGGCAAACACTTTTAACTATTTATTTATATCAAGTGGCATATATAAGTTTAAATGCACATCCACAAACCTCCTTCACTAACTTGTTTGATGTATGATTTAAGTTGAGATTGTTTCAGAAGCAATTTCGCTAATTAATATATTAATGAGAATCCACGTTGATGTTAAGACTAGAACAAATGTGAATTCAGTAAGTACACGGAAAAACAACTTGATTTGTGGGAAATAATGTCACAATCCGAAAATTTTAGACCTAGTATGGTCTAAACCCTAACCAAGTACTAGTATAAACTATGTTGCAAACCTTGTTGCATGGTGTCTTCTATAACCATTAGGGCTTGTTTATAAGCTAAATAACTAAGTCTAGATTGGAACCTAAGTTGAAATAGGAAGGTATAATCCAACTTTTAGCTAAAGATAAAGGATTAATCATGAAATAACACACCTTAGGTGTGTTTATGGCCAAAGAATGAAGCCTCAAATGTGTTTACGGCCAAGGAGTAAACTCCAAAAGGAGTTCACGGTCTAGAAAAGTAAAATCAAGAGTGTTCACGGCCATGGAACCTTCCAAACTTGTGTTCACGGTCCAAGAATGAAGTCTTATGTAGTTTGCAGTACACTCATACTGCTAGTACTCGCTTAATGCGGTACAAATTGTTCGCAGTAATGATAACAAGGATAAAACCGGAGGGCACTGAAAACACATACATAGAATAGTACGTCGTTCTATTCGACTTAACAGCCGTTACGATAAGAAGTTCCGATGTCGTCTTTAAAAATATGTTGATTTGGTCTTTACCATACCAATTTCTTGTGCTACATAAAGACCCTTCGCTTTAATTAACCGTCTAACGAAATCCTTATAACCTATAACGAGAAACTTGACACGAACCTTCGCATCATCTCTCGTTTCAAAACTCAGAAGTACCCATGCGAGGGGTACCACGTCTTTCTAGCTTACTTCGTAGACAAGAAACTTAAAGTGAAACCCACCGAGGATATTCTGAAAATCTCCAATCCTTCCGAAGTATCTCCAATAGATCTCCTAGGAACACCACTCATACAGCAAGTCAAGTTCAAGCACAGAGGCTAAAGATAAATACGGTTAACCTATCACTGTTAAGTGTATATGCGAGAGTGGTATATAATTAAGATTCTATAGACCTAGGATGTGTGTTTCCGCCCTATCTCCTGTTCCTTGTTTGGTTGTGGACCTGGGGCAGAGTCGCACATCCGACCATCTTATTAATCTTAATTATATACGACTTGTATACACGAGACGATGATAGATGAACCAAGTATGAGTCTTACCATGAACTTTAGGACAAAGCTGTACAGTACTACGAGTGGACATCCTACCAGTTGGATAAATGTATTCAAGTAAGCCAAACCCGCACACTCTCTACCATTTAGAATAAAAGATCAGATAGAACCAAGGTACCCATCTTTTTACCAAATTCATGAGTAACCACTTAGAATTCTGAATTTCGGGACGAAATTCCCTTTAACGGGGGGATAATGTCACAATCCGAAAATTTTAGACCTAGTATGGTCTAAACCCTAACCAAGTACTAGTATAAACTATGTTGCAAACCTTGTTGCATGGTGTCTTCTATAACCATTAGGGCTTGTTTATAAGCTAAACAACTAAGTCTAGATTGGAACCTAAGTTGAAATAGGAAGGTATAATCCAACTTTTAGCTAAAGATAAGGGATGAATCATGAAATAACACACCTTAGGTATGTTTACGGCCAAAGAATGAAGCCTCAAATGTGTTTACGGCCAAGGAGTAAACACCAAAAGGAGTTCACGGTCTAGAAAAGTAAAATCAAGAGTGTTCACGACCATGAAACCTTCCAAACTTGTGTTCACGGTCCAAGAATGAAGTCTTATGTAGTTCACGGTCCAAAGATCCAAGGATCTTTGTGTTTACGGCCTAATGGGGATAAGAATCATAGTGTTCACGGATGAATTTAAAAGATCAAATGGCGTTACGGCCAAGAGGTGACTGTGAACACAAATCAATGCTCTTATTTGAGCGTAAACCCCTTAAATATCTCATATTCAGTATACCAATGTGATAGAATTCAGTTTCCCAATGTGATACATCCGTAAACACAACATACACCGCCTTAGAAACATCCTTCATACTTAAGGAACAAATGAAATCATTTGTACATTCATCAAGCGTAAACACTTCATTCTCTTTCAAGTATCAAGTTTATATCCAGAGAATTTATATCCAGAGAACCTTCAAACTCTCAAGAACACTTCGTATCTGCTTCCATAATTCCTTCACAATGATTATTTACATACAATTTAGTGTCTATTATCATGTTAAATTAATAGTTAACTAATTTATACATATGATTATGTGTATAACTATTATTAGGATTACGACATCTTTCCCGTAATCTAACTCGAAGTCACCAATTTCATCCTGATATTTAGTCAAAACTGCACACAAGGTGAGTTCATACCCCCATATTTTCCAAGCTTTTTAAAATGTTTTAGGGGGGGGGGAATACAAGTAAAACACAAGATTGCTTGTGTTTAAAAACATAATTTATTTATTATGTTTTTCTTATCGTTTAAATGTATTTGAACTTGAAACTTGTTAAAATAGGAAAATCAACTTGTAAACCATAATAGGCATAGTTTATGGATTATAGGAACTATTTATATAGTTCAGGTTAAAACATGAAAATAAACTTATAAACTATAATAAGTATAGTTTATGAAACAAAAGGAAATCTTTTTACAAAATTACTTGTTAATTATAAAAAGGTTTTACAATTTATGTAAATAATTAATAAAGGATTGTGAACCGCTAGATGTACCACTCAGGGTACCCGTTCGAATCTTAATTATAACCAGAGTCTTCTTAAGGGAGAGCGTGAGTTTGTGTATAGATCTATACGAGACTAACTTTGCATTAGTATGGTTATAATGAATATTCACAATAGTATTAACTAATTATTTACATAAATATATGCTTTTCCTAAACTTTCTCAAGGAATACTAACTATATGATTTCTCAGTATATACAATAAGGTTAGATAAAATTGAAGTCCGATAGACAGTGGAATGTGTGACTTCCGCCTCATTTCCTGTTTCTTGTTTGGTTGTGGCCTTAGGGTAGATTCACCCATTCAACTGTCCTATTCGATCTCGGTATTATACAACTCGTGTGTACTAAGTGATCATAGGAGGGTA